AATTGGTGTCTTTTGAGGATCACATATGGGGTAAATATATTTTGCATCATCAGAGATGTTGTCATGCCCCAGGTAAAATAATCAGGTACTTGGACTCTTTGCACCACCCACTCAGGCTGCACCTTGGGCCCATCACAGTTCTTGCCTTTCTAACTGGGTACGGCACTGACTACAAGCAGAAATGATCGTGTTGCACAGTTCCCGAGTAACAGGCCAACCCCTGCCAACAGCTTCTCTGAAAAGGTCTTTAAGCCCTGGATGACCGTGTTTCACGTGTAACCACTCGAACAGATGCTCCCACTTTTCTTCTTCAGCTTCTGCTGCTGTTATCACTAAACGGGTTAACGAATCTACTTGATTATTCCAAATGTGGGCTGGGCGATTCCCCTTTTGGTGTGCAGCTACCCGTCCCATCAAGAAAGTCCCCTGTTTAGCAACAATTAAGACTTCCTCCCATTTTTCTCTTTGCCACACAGGTACCCGGTTAACTTCCCATTGGTTTTGTTCCCAGAAGAGGAGCCACTCAGTACATCCTTTAAATAGTGTAGGAATCCATACAAATAAGCACTGGTTCTTTGTTCTCAGCCTCTCACTTTATCACACTCCAAACTGCTATCAACTCCCCTACCTGAGCACTTCCCTCCCCTTCCATTACAATTCCCCCCCCCCAATCAACATGTAAGGCTACTGCCCGGTATTTCCATACCTTCCCTTCTCTTTTTGAGGATGCATCAGTAAATCACACGTTCTTCAAGTGGGATTCAAATGGAGGAGCTGGTTTAACCCAGGGAGTCGTAGCAAGTTGATGGTACTCTCAGGCTAAATTACGGTGAAGAGACACCAAACGATTGATTAAATGTTTTATTTACGTTTAATTTTCAGTCTCTCACAGTGTGTTATTCAATTTTGAAGAGAGGAGGAATATATTTTTGTGGTTAATGATTGTACACAGGGATTGAAAGATTTCAGCTTTTATGCAGTATTTTCTGAATGAAATTAGGATCTAGGGTCTGTAAGTCATGCCAAATGTAATTCTTACTTTAAACACCATGGACTGAAGGACAGTCATCTGGTGTTCTGTCAGACAAGAGTCATGATCCATCAATGCATCAAGCCCAGCCATGACCTGAGAGCCAAGTCAGTGTGAGGAATCAGCTCCAAGAAAGTTTTCTGAACTTGTTTCTAATCAGGAGGCAACACAGCATTGTTACAAAATAAGGTGTAGTTAACATGTAACCAACATCCTGTTTCTGGGTTGACAAGATCTGACCTTAAGCCCAAGTTTTATATTCTTTGGTTACCCAAACATGCCTGAACTTTGTCTGTAGATGTTTCTAACCAAGCAGAGAAAAGTTCAGTCTGTTTACGTATCACCTCTTAGCTATACCCATGGTGTTTGAGCCTTCTTCTCTAGACATCTCCTTTTGGTATATCACACGTTACAAGCCTTCCTATGCAGCATTCTGCTCAAATGTCCATTTGCACTTCACTGTGGATCAGCAGTAATCCCCTCTGTGAAAGTTTTCTACTAACTGTTTATTTTGGAAGCAGTCTTTTTACTCTGTGTTATTACCATGGGCAGTTTAAAAGGGCTTGGGACCTCCAGGTACTGTTTATCCCTGCACTGACAGGCAGATAGAGATGCCAATGCTCTAGTCTTTCCTGAGCAAGAGTGTCATACAGCACTTTTGTATAGGGATGTACAACACGTGTGAAGTACAGTAGGGAATGCCAGGGAGGGTGTTGTGTCCTTCTGAGATGCCTTTTAAAGCCTGCCGGAAAGATAAGGGGTGAGGATGATCACAGAATATGATTTCAAGGGTACTGCTATCTGAGCAGTGTAGAAGTTGCCTGCTAGTCTGCAGTGCACTGCACCCCGAGAGCAACTAGACCCTCTGCCCCCAAAGTAAAGAAAATCCCCTTTCTGGTGACCAGAACCAGAGACAGACAGGAGTATGAGCTGGTTAAGATCACAGCAACTTTGGGGGATTTCCCTTTGCCCAAGAGAAACAGAGGGAAAACTCAGAGATAACAATTATCTGATTCAGAGACACCCTGGCTGTAAACAAATTTTCAGTTACATATGCCGAGGAAATAAGAGAATACCTTCTTTAAGAAATGGCATTTTCACAAAGGAAATAACATCAAGTGTATTTCCTAGGAAAGATAATTAGAGACTTCCTAAATAATCTCTCTCCTATTAACAGTGCCTATGTAACCTCATTATTGTGCTAAGATGCTGAAAGGGATCCCTCACACATGACTCAGGCAATTCAATAGGACTTCCAAAATAATTTCTTCCACAAATTGGTTTGGGCAGAAGATGACATTTGCCCCTCCCAAAGGTATTAGTATTGGAGAGTTGCATTAATACAGGGAACAAAACAAAAACATAACGTGCATTGGTGTTTTACAGCTTTGTTATCTATTGAGCAAAATGCTGTGCTTGGGCCTTCTGGAAGAAGTCTAATGGTGACAATACAGAGCTCTGCACCATCTGATTTACCTTATTGAGAAGACTGAGAACACTGCATCCCAGATACCCACCGATGCCATTGCTAAAGCCCACATTAGAACATACCAGTGTTTGCTTTCCTCCTCCCAATACACTGTCCCCTTTCTTTGGGCACAGCTGGTGCTTTATCTGGAGAGTGCTCGGCGCTTCCAAGTTATTTTGGCCTAGAGTAGGGAGAATGCACCATGTTCTTTGAATTGAATTTTGAAATCCCATTAAAAGAAGATCTCTGGTGAATAGAGCAAGGAAACCTGAAATTGGCTGCAAAGCAGTAAGAAGTGTCCCAAACCACACGCAGCCTGAGCTGTCACCATTGCATCTGCCCGCACGAGCCTAGCAGATGAACACAAGTGGCTGGTAAGTCAGCACAGCCTGCAGCGTTTGTTTGAAAACGGGAACAAAGCCCGGCGCATCTGCAGCATGTTCTGGGCTTCATTTTTAACTATAAATACAAGGAAATCATGGCAAACGGGAGCTGAGCACAGAGCTCGATAAACACTGCAATGCGGAGCTGCCTGACAGCTGTCATAATACGTGGCTCAGAGCGTGCAGCTGCCGTCAGACAGTGATAACACAGAATTGCAACCCTCTGCTCTCCAGGTAAACTTGTACATGGCAAAAGAGTTCTTGAAATAGCTAGTGATCCCACATCTGCAAGAAGGCCTTGCATAGTTCATATTCCAAATGCAATTATTTTGAAGCTGATTCTGCCATATAGCTTTTGATGCACTGCTTTGGAGGCAAAGAGTAAGCATACAGAGTCGCAATCCTGTAGGAATGCTGAATGGTAGGTCACTCCCCAGGCTGCTCTGGGGCTTGCAAAACACTGAACTACAGATGCTTTGGCAACCCTTCTCTTGCAGCTTGCATCTTCATCCTCCGTTTGCCTCTTTGCTCTGTGAAAGATCTAGTTTGTGGCCTGTGATGCCCACGGATTTGTAAAAGGACAAAGAAGGGCCCAGTGGGATTCCTCACGTGCTTGTAGCGGTGATAACCCCTGGCACTGCTTGGTGTGTTGGAGGGCCCTAAGCTACCTGAGCTAGCATTTCGGTCTGGCCTGTGGTAGAACATAGCACGTGGTGACTCTTGAGACTGTTACAACAGTAAAACGCCATTACGATGTAGAATTACAATGGAGGTAACTTTAGAAGAAGGGGATTTTCCATGCTCTTTGAAACACTGTGATTTCAAAATGGTACCTCATCTCATATCAAGATAAAGAAGGTTTAAAAAAATCAGACAGGTTTTCCTATTGCCATCAGCCAATCAATCAATTCAAATTTATCAAAACTTTCTGTCTGATTATATTATTTAGGGCAGTAGAAGACTATATCATTAGTATGATCAATGCCTTGAGAAACAATCAATCTTGTGATAGTTAAGTAAAGTCTCCAGGTGAGTTTGGCCAGGATCCCAGCAATACTCGGCACGCTCACCAAGATTTTAAGTCTGGTCGAGTCAAGCCTGTACCCAGTGTTACTGAGAGGTGAGAATGGAAGGAGATAAAACCTTTCAGGGGAGATCCATGAAAAATGCTTACAAGTGACTGCATGAACTATTATCTGAATACATAGAGATATCTCACCATGAAAGGGCAATATTTATCTCTATTAAACCACAAACAATACATAAAATAGACACATCGTTGCTTTCAATATCTTCTTTAATGGCAACACAGAACACAAAAAATGCCAGAGGCCATGGTAGAGCAAGACCATTGTAAAACAAGTTACAAAGTAAGTGATGCCTGTTATATACTCACATTTTGTTAACGCATCTAGCAACAGAAGCAACATGCAATGCTTTTACGTTACATAGTACAGGACATGGGAATGCGAACTGCAGGTGCAATAGGTTACACACCCCTGGCATGTCTCTTATCTTTGAGACGCTTTCATTTGACCAAATACGATAGTTATTGCATTCGTGGGGATTAGGGGGAGGGAGAACAGTGCAAGGCAGGATCGAGAAATAGAGATCTGCAGTGCAGCATGAAAGAGAGCTCTCCCATTCAGCCTTTCTGTGCCACAGGGGAAAAAAGCAATACAAGCACAGACAGAAATCTAGGTCTCAGGTTCCTTGCTGGAGCTGCATCTTTCCTCGGCGTTGCAGGATTTGCTGTCTAATAGCAGCTGCCAGGGAGAAGGGGACGCAGAAACGAAAGCTTGTCATTTAAGTTGATTGCACTGTAATGTGGAAGGTGTTCACGTTCTCGCGCAATGTAACGAATACCGCTTCCGTCGCTGTGTTCGCACAACAGCCAGACGCCTTTCTGGACTTTGTGAGAGGATACGGTGTCATTGTCGTACCCCCTAGCCAGGTTGGTTGCTTCTCTTACCACCCTGCTCTTCCCTTGGTATTGGGAATGTTCATAGAGCGTGATCTGGGGATTGCACAGATCCTCAGTGATCAACTGCAGAGAAGTGATCGTATCATTCATCTGCCAACCAACAAAGCCATGATCTCCCTCCTCAAATACCATTAACTGGCCTGTATAGTTGTGGTGCTCATAAGCCACCCAAGGCTGGCCAATTACTCTCACTGAGGAGATACAATCATTCCAATCTACAGCTTTTAGATTGGCAACATCGCTGGTGAATTCTCTGGAGTAACCCTGGAAGTTGGCGTGCTCATAAACGATGATTTTTCCCATCTCGGTAGGCCTTCTGTCGTTCGGATTTCTTGCTGTAGGAGCTGGATGACAGCCTGCAGAAAAGGAAAACAGAAAATAAACAGTGACTGTAAGAAGCAAGACACAAAATGCTGGAGGGGGCCAGGGGGAGGAATATAAAAAGGAAAAGTAAAACATTTTTAGCAGACTGTAAACGCAGCAGCAGCTGGAAAAGAGTGAGGGCATGACATAGAAATTTGAATTTGGAAGAAAAAAGTAAATTCAGATATGCACACCAAAACTTTTTAAAGTTTATTTAGTTGTGTATGTTGGTTTATGTATATGTGTGAGGGACGTCTGAGCATTTAGTTTAACATCTTATTGGTATATCCTAAATAATAATGAAATAAAATACATAATTGCTGATAAATCTTTCCGTTGATAATTGACACTGCATTTGAGAATTATTTTAGAAATTGGTGTTCATTGTTTGGACTAGATTTCATGATCCACATAATATTACAAGTAAAGAAGTAGTGAGACATTCAATTAATTGCTAAATTAAAGTGCATTTTGTACTGTAAATAGGAAAAATATCTATTCTGTTAAGACCAGAAATGAACTTTTAAACTCGCTGGAATACCTCATTTCTCATTTTACATGAAATTCTATTGAAATCAGGATATTTCTGTTGACCTAAGCCAAGAAGCAATCAAGTTCAAAGCATCAGCTCTTTGAGTCAGACTCAGTTTCAGGTTGTAAATGTCTTTTTGTAGCACTGTTATGAATACTCATATATAATTCCACACAGTCATCTGGAATCACATAAAGAACCACAGTATTTATTAATAACAGCTGCAGGAACAAAAAGGAGCAGCCAGTTAAGTTGACAGCTCCCTTTCTAAATCACATAACAGCCATCGAAGCAAAGTTTTAGATTTCAGGGCAAATCTATCTGAGGGTAAGAAGCAGTTACTCTAGTTGATTCTGGGAAGGGATGCGAGAAGATCAGATCTGCCCAAGTAAGATTAAAAGTCAGACTAAAATTGCAAGACCTGAGCAACATAATCAACATTAAAAAAAAGATCTCACTTAAATCTTACTTAAAAAAAAAAGTCTCACTACATGATTAAAAGCATTTAAGTGTTTCTTCGCAGTTATATTTGAATTTATGGAGGCTGTGGGTACCTGAACTTTAATTTATTGATTGATTGAGCACTAGTATAATGACCTCGTGCCTGCTGAAAAAGTACTAATAATAAGCCAGTTAATTTTGCTGAGAGAACATAAGGATCCTATGCCCAAGATTAATTTGTAAAATGTTCTCACTTTCACCCCTTGGAATTTTGTAGCAAAGGCTCTCTCCACCCTCTCCCTTCGTAAGGTATGCTTATCCTGCAGCTGTTTTCTCATCACCTGAAAGATAGGTCAAGTTTCTGCAAATCCAGACATCACATCCTCACATACATGTTGCAGCTCTCAGCCCAACACTTAAACATCTTTCTCTTCAACCGCATTTCACAGTAGCTGCCCGAGAAGCCGTTGAAAGGTTTTGTGTAAAAAGTGTGCATCTCACCTCGATGACAGCGCCTGGGACGGGGAGAGCTGGCGGCACTTCCTCCAGTCTGGTGCTGCTGCCTGCCAGAGGTGGCTCGCTCACCTACATTTATAGCTCGCACAGAAGTCTTGTGAAACACTCTCTTCTGAGAAGTGGACCCTATTACCCTCAGGGATCAAAAACAATTAACTGCTTTATTTCGGTTTTGATCTTCCTACAGCCAGCCATCTTGTTGCTCGGGTTCAAAAGGCCACTGAAGAAAAAACTTCTTGATAATTCTTAGAGCTTTCGTTCTTGTTTGTCTTCATTCTCCAGAAGCCAGATGAATTACAGGAATAAAAACACACCAAAGTATTTTGTGATGCATGGGCTGTAGAATTTTTTTGCTTGCTGCAGCTTACATTTTTGCTTAACTGGGAAGCACATCTAATACACAATGTTAGTTTTCCAAAGGGTTTCTATGTGAGATGTCCAGATGACATTTAAGTACCTTTTTTTTAAAATTCACTTTCCCCCTTCTCACCAATGTAGCCATTTGAGCAGCCACAGGGATGCAGAGCTGGTAAAGCAGGGCAGGGAGGCTCTGACAGAGTGGCAATATTTTTGCTTATTTTCATATTGCAGGTTTATTCTGTAATATATTTTCAGACATGTTAATTGGCTAGCATGCTGGGCAAGCTGTACTACAGTGGGAGGAAACAACAGGATCTTTGTTAGTGCAGAGCAATCCAGATCCTGCAAATACCCAGTATTTTTACAGCAGTAAAAAGAAGACGCTTCTTTTAAAAGCTGATTTTGCCTTGGCCACCTCTGAATTTTGAAATCAAGCAACAGTCTGATGAATGATAACGACTGTGTAAAAAAGGAAACAGCTGCATTGCCAATGGAAGTAAATGAGTGACAATTTAGCTTCACAGGAAGATACAGGTGGGAAGGGACGTCTGGAGGTTTTGATTCCACCCCCCCTTCCTCATAGCTGCGACGAATCTGAACCTGCCTGGGGCTGCTCAGCACCTCGTCCAGGTGACTCCGAACAGCTCCAAGGTTGGAAGTTTCCCAGCCTTTCCGGGGGCTGAACCACCCTCAGAGGAAAGCGGTCCCTCCCGTTACCACCAGACGTGAGAAAGCTCACAACAAGGACTCGGAGGAGATTTGGTGGTTATTGGAGCAAACAAATCAAATAACCCACAGGCTCAGTGGCGGTAGATCTCAAATATACCTTGGATATGGGCAGACTGGCGGGGCACTGGGTGCAAACCTCCGAGAGGAACCCAGGAGGCAGGGGCTATGAGCCAGTTTTTCATACACTAGAACTCCCGAGAAAGAAAATACGTAATTGCGCTTACAGCTACAGAGCAGATGCTGCCCTAAGCTGTCGTTGAATGTAATGACCTCGATGGGCAACATCTGACAAGCAGAGCTTCTTTCAAGGTCACTGCTAGGACGTGCCCTGCTGTAGGATGCTTCAGAGACCCCTGCTCTGTCAGGTAGGATGCTACTGGAGAAGCTGGGGAGCTGGGAAGGGAGAGAGTTCACCCCTGCCAAAACAGGCAGCCTGTACAGTAGCTCCAGCCAGCTAGAGAAACCCATGACTGAGAATTCTTTAACACCAGATCACAGGACTAAGCTCACACAAAAATACATGGGTTTTTTTCCACATCATTCGTTCTCTTGCTGCTCTGCAGAGGCTGGAAGTAGAGCAATTGAAATTTGCATTTTGGGGTTTGGAAGAGAGAAGCAGGACCTCACTTTCTAGCAGCAGCTAGACGTGAAATCAGCCTTCCTCTACTGCCAAATCACACCTTTATGGCATGGTTTCATGTGTTGCAGTGAGCAAACCCTACAGTTCAGTGCTGCTGGAAAGGGCAAGGCCCCATTCCGCTCCTGAACCATGGTGTCCACCAGGATAGAGAAGGGAGAATGAGCACACCAGTGGGAGGACTATTTGGAAGAGGGACTAAAACAGCCCAGAATAGGATGGATTTACGCTGTCATTGAACAACATTCAGTCTTCTTACCTTGCTAGTGTATTTTACTGATTAAATTAATTTAGTTGTGTTTCTGAAAAAAATATTTTTTATATATACATAATGACATAATTCATCACAAACTAAACATTCCCATCTTTCTCAGCACCTGTAGACTCAGAAAAGCCCTTTGGACAAATGTATGAGCCATGAAGGCAACACAGAGAGTGAGTCTGAGCGTGGCTCAACTGTCACCAAAGCTGGCAGTGGGGCTTTTCATGGTACCAAGGAAAATCAAAAGGCGATATATGATGGGATGTGTTGACACAAAAGCTTGGCAAAGGATCTCTGTATAAACACTCCCAAGGTCACAGAAAAAAATGAGCTCCTGGTTCTGATGACCATCTTTCCTAGTGTTATTGGCACTGGAAACTAAATGGATTTTAATATCGCTCATCTCATTTATACGGTGCTTTATGCACAAGGAAGTAAGCTACTGAACAAAGCAGAATCCAGAGTAGGGCTAAGAGTTTGATATTGGAAATATTTATGGCTTGGGGGTTTTATTGTAGGATTAGGGTTTTTTTTCCTTACGGGAAATTATGTTTCCCAAACTTCCCCCCCACCCTGCTTCCTGCAGAAATAGCAGTATCTCAAAATGAGGAAAAGAAAGTGTGTGACAAAAGTGAAAAGAGGAAGAAGAAAACTCAAAGAAGAGAAGGATAAACAACTCTTCCTCTATTGCCCTCAGCAGACAAAAAGCAAAAGAATGATCAAGAGAAATGATGAACATGCAGAGTCTTTGAAAGCATCGAGAACTACATTATGCAAAAAACACTTGAACAATCAAAGACTTATTCTGATTTGGAACAAAAATTACTAAAATATTTTTATCTTTTTCATAAAACTGGCTTGCTTTTTTTTTTTAACAAGACTAAATAGTGAGCATATTTTTTTGTTCCCGTAGAATCGTTCCGAAATATGTCAAAACTCTTATGTATTTATTTATTTTTATTTCCTCTGTGGTTGGCTTCATCAACATTGCACTGCAGTAGTCTATTTTCCACTAGATTGCAGGGTGACAAACAATTTCACTTAAAGCTGTGGATGTCACATATGTACCCACTTCACAGTGCTGGAAAAGGTAAAATGGTAGAAAAATCAAATTATCAACAAACTCCTTCCACTCTAGACCCTCTTGTGTTCCCACCCTTCTCCACCACAGTGGATACCTTAGTTTGTATCTCAATAATTATGCATCTCTTTTCATTCCTTACTTTAAAATAAGGGGGTTAAAAAAAATTAATAAAACCACATATGAACTGCATCTCCCCAGTTTCTGACTGCTGTTTTGTCTGGTAGTTGTGGACTCAAGGCAGCAGGACACTGGTTTCTTTGTTTTGGAGGGTTTTTTGTGGCTGAAGGGGGTGGTTTTTTGGTTGTTACCCTCTTTGCAGTTGTTAGGGCTGGTAGAGTAATTCATCACAAAGACGGAGTCTCTTTCTCACTTTCGGCTCCAAGACTTCTGTTTCTCAAACAAAACAGCCCCC